ATAGTGTGAAAATGATATGCCGTTATGAGGCCTTCGTTTTTCGAGCTAAACAGGCCTGAGTTATCCCCCTTAGATTATGACGTAATTGGTGCCAATTCAACTGGGTCCCTGTCTATTCTCAACGCAAAAGATATCAAGTACCAGTTTGCGGTAAAACAACATGGCCTACGACACACTCCGGCGCAGTGGTGACTCAACATAACACTATGCTGGCTGGTATCTGAGACGCTAGAATCACACACCACGTGAAGCGGCTCTAACAAAGCATGATGACGTCATAATGTTTATCAATTGGCACCAATGACGTCATATTGCAAGGGGCATAAGCCATGGTGTTTTTGTTGTGGAAATAGAACACTTGGTAAATGTGAAAAATATAAATCGTTTTAATGCGAAAAATATGTTAATTAATTGTGATATTTTTATATTTTTGTCTATGACACTTCTAGGTTAACACTTTTAATGTGGAAAAAGTACAAGAAAAATAGGTTAATTTCCGTGTGAACTTGCCCTTTAAACCATCGTTCAGACAGTACATGATGACTTACCATGGTTACAATATGTTCTCTTCACTAGGGAAGTACCTTAAGCTCTTTAGATCTAATGTATTTTAACTTGAATAACATACTGTAATAAAGCTCCTTGTACCATGTGAATTTTAAATTTTTTTTATGAATGTGTTTTTTGTGACATGTCATTTAATATAATACTGCATAAAAAAAATAACGTCAATAGTAAAATATTTAAGATGTCACAATAACATGTTATTTATTATGATACTGCTTAACTTTCTTAAAAATAATAACATTAAGAGTAAAATGATATGAATGATCTTTTTAAAGGTGGCAATGTATAACAACATAATATCATAATATTTCAGGGTTAGGATTAAACTCAAAAGCTTTACCAGCCTGGGAAAGATAAAATGCCCATGCCCTTGTTATGTTAAATCAGTGTTTTTTTGTTTTTTTGTTTCACAACAATGGGGAAATTTGGAAATGTGTACCGGGGGTACTTACCCCAAGGAATTTGGTCTAGCCGGCTAGATTTAAGTTCTAACTCTATGAAACATATGTATCAGTAATCTGTACAAGGTTTGTTTATTCCCCAAAATTTAACCCATTTCAATTCTATTCATCATGTGTCTATTGAGCATGTTGAGTTAAATTTTAGGTGAATTCCCTTATTTGTATCTAACAAATATGATCATCTCTCTACCTTCACAAATAGGTCCACAAGCAGCATTAAATATCAACACAAAAGCCATAGCAACATATTCTGGTCCCCACAATTCACAATGTAGCAGTATTATCCATTACTTCTATGCATGTTTAAGGTACCACATGTATTATGATAAACACAATAAAAGCAGGAATGTTGAAGGCCAATTCCCTTGTTGGCAGGTGTAATATGAGACCACTTTGTTGCACAGACTATGCTGCCATTATTTGCAATCTCATTAAAATCAGATCTTAGTTCTCGCTGCCTCTTAACAAAGATCTGAGGACATCCCATTACGGGTCACGTCAGAGTCGTCAGACCGACCTTTAGCAAACTCTGACCGACCAATGGAATTACTGACAAGAAGACGATATTAGCCAATCAGAAGAAAGCGTTCTCATGCTTTACGGCACTAATTGCAAATTGGCGACTACGCTTCGAAACATATTTTGACAAATTCTTGCTTAAAAATTTGAAACCTGAACAAAAGAACATTCTCGAATGGCTAACATATGGTCTAGATTGTATAGATTCAGTCGTTAAGCCCGTAACTATCACTCGGAATACCCTGTTTAAAAGTTTTCAAGGCTGCATGATTAGAAATCACATTCCGACTGTCACTTTCATGATCTGGTAAGCTACGCTCTGATTGGTCGGATGAAAGGTCATTCTGACGTGACCCCTAATGGGATCTCCTCAGATCTTTGTTTAGCTGTAGAAAGAACTAAGATCTGATTTTAATGAGATTGCCATTATTTGCTAATATTGTTTGAAAGGCAATCATCTCAAACTTTCTGCCTGTGATCTTCACAACACAAATTACAATATTTGACCATTTTGACCACTACAATACGCTATCTGATAAGAAGAGGAACAAATATAAGGCCACAATAATTGATTATGTGTTTATCAAATGTTACGTCCAGAATAAGAGTGAGTGAGTGAGTTGGGTTTAACTCCGCTTTTAACAGTATTCCAGTTATATCGCGGCGTGTCAGCTTAATGTGGGAGGAAAGCCCGAAGTGATGCAGGTCTCAGACGTTTACCACTTCGGTGAAACCCATGAGCACGGGTATGGTGCTGACAAACCTAGAAACATAATCGGGGTGAACCGGGATTCGAACCCACAATCATAGGTTTCTGGGGTGCCCAAGGGACACAACTCTGCACAGCGAATCACAGCGCCTTAGACGACTGGGCCATCCGTGCCCCCTCCAGAATAAGAAGCAGGAAATGATTTAAAACATTTTTCTTGGGACTTGTCATATTTATTGCAGAGGTTGGGAATGGAAGGAGATTGTAGGGTTGGGACTGGTAAGTCGGGTACTCGGGTACTCGGGTCGGGTGGGTCCTGAGATAGTCATGTGATACCGTATTCGACATAAGAAGCGCCCTGCTCTAATAAGCGCCCACGGCTATATTTGCTAATATATTGGCTCGTGTACAATCACAATTGGCACCCCTACCGATTGATCAATGTACACAAGACTCATTTATTCGCGTATAATACGCACTCGTGTGTTATATGCACCCTTAATTATGGGCAATTAAATTCTGGAAAAATATATGTCGTACATAAACATTTCAGGCTGTCAGCATAAACCACGGAAACTCTGTTTTTTTTCGACAAAATAATATTTTAATAAGAGCCCCCGGACATTTTGTAGATACAGCTTGAGACCTACAGCGGGTACCTGGGTAGGGTCAGGTAATAGCGAGTTGGGTACCCGGGTAGGGTCAGGGAATAGCGAGGTGGGTACCCGGGTAGGGTCAGGTAATAGCGAGGTGGGTACCCGGGTAGGGTCAGGTAATAGCGAGGTGGGTACCCAGGTAGGGTCAGGTAATAGCGAGGTGGGTACCCGGGTAGGGTCAGGTAATAGCGAGGTGGGTACCCGGGTAGGGTCAGGTAATAGCGAGGTGGGTACCCGGGTAGGGTCAGGTAATAGCGAGGTGGGTACCCGGGTAGGGTCAGGAAATAGGGAGGTGGGTACCAGGGTAGTAAATTTGGACTCATCCCTGCCCTAGTAGATTGGGCTTAGTATTAAACCACATTTTTTCATGGCCCCCCACCAATTCACGTCACATAAAGAAGGATGCCGTTTTGGAAAAAACAAAATAAACCACTTACCCTTTTGCTTGTTATCTGTTTCTGGGGCATTTATTCAAATTTGATCGTAATCAAGTTGTTGTGGCCTTATCAACATGAACAATGTCAATAGTATGATACACTAGTGAACTATCATCAACTCTTGGTATACACTACTTTCTTCCATCACCCGTGAATACGACGACAGCTGTTTGGTGTTGTAGTGACTAGGGCAGGTATTGGGTACTTGGGTCGGGTTGGTCCTGAGTAGGACCTGGGTACTCCCAGGACTACCCGGACCCGTGGTTAGTCACATGATATATTGTTTCATGACAAAAATTCACTATATAACTACATGGTTACACGACAATTTTAAGTCTCTACTGTTCGCATTTCTTCATGAATATGAACACGTGCATACATAAGTCACGCTCACTCATGAATATTGTAGACTTAAGACAATTGTAGGTTTAAGGGCACAACACATGTTCCTTCTGACTTTTATGTTTGAACAAAGCTATATCTTCAGTCAACTTCAGTGTATGCATGGCCACATCGTTTTATACGTGTATCTAAATACATTTTGCCAGGGCTACTGTCAAACTATTCCCAATTGGACCTTTTGTACCTATATCTTGACACCAACAGCGGGTACCCAGGTAGGGTCTGGTTATAGGGGTGTTGGTCCCAGCCCTAGTAGTGATGCATGACTTTTTTAGTAGGGTAATAAAATGAAACTGTTCAAAACTGAGTGAGTTGGGTTTAACATCGCTTTTAACAGTATTCCAGTTATATCACAGTCTGTCAGCTGAATGTGGGAGGAAAGCCCGAAGTGATGCAGCTCTCAGACATTTACCACTTTTGTGAAACCCATGAGCACGGGTATGGTGCTGACAGACTAGAAGCATAATCAAGGCGAACAAGGATTCGAACCGACAATCTTAGGTGTCTGGTGTGCCCAAGGGACACAACTCTGTACAGTGAATTCCAGGGACTTAGATGACAGGGCCACTTGTGTCCCCCATAACTAATGGAAGTCCCAACATTGTGTGAATCCTAACATTGATGGAATGGTATTTTTCTCTTGTTCTCATCAAAATACTTAGTTAAAACAACATTGAGGCAATGCATGAAGCAGACGAGGCAGTAAAATCATTGAGAGAGGATTTTGATATTTTGGAACCCTCCCTTCCAAAAATGCTGGATCTGCCCTTGCAAGTGATGCACACATTGTAAAGAAACTTAAACTAAAAGCCCATTGGTCTGAGCACAGCATGGAACCAGTCCTTTGATTCACTGGTTTGTTAACCACAAAAACGAAATGTCACGGTTGATGGAGGAAGGGGGTGAAAACAAGATGATGAAGTATTGATGATGCAAGTGGACAGGTATGAGTATTGCTGTAAGGTGTGACAACACCGATTGCGTAGTAAGACTGACACCATAACTCTCAGCAGCTCATGCCTCTTCGTGTGAACCCTGAAGTTCATAGGCAGACTCCGACCATGCTGCATCTTTGTCTGCTGAGGAACAATATTTACAGCAATCACTAATGCATAAAACCTCAGCAGAAAAATTGCTTGACAAGAATCATGGCAAAATGTGATCTTTTCTAAATTTACCACAACTAATTCTAAACAAAACACATCTCAATTTCTGTATCATGTATACATCACACATTCTTCAAAATAGACCTTGCAATGTGCATATGTCATGAATTTAATACATTTTCATGAATTAGATATCAAAAATGTCATAAGATAAAAACAAAAAGATTAATTTGTCCTTCATATGATGGACATGGCCAGATTTTCTTAAATGATAAAAATTCTTTAAGTACATGATCACATCAGCTTAATTTTGTTGACATTGTGTTCATATCAATAAATTAATCAGAGTGAGTCATACAAACATCTCATAAATGTCTCAACACATCCTCTATGTTAGCAGAGCGGCACAAAAAGCTTTTGACCTTTGACACATGCAACAGCAAAAATGCATACAGTGCTGATATCACATTTTATCAATGTTTGATTCATAAAACGATTAAAGAGTATGCCAATAGAAGGTACCATAACATTTAGAAAAGAACGTCTTCATGTCATACTCACTCAACACTCATTCACACATTCACTACTCACTCACACATTCACTCTCTCACACTAACACAATACTCATTCAACACTCACTTAGTCGGCCGTTTGATATTCGGAGGGGGGCATTTTGTATTGAGACGATCACTAAGTCGGCCGTTTGATATTTGGAGGGGGGACATTTTGTATTGAGATGAGATATTTTTTCAGCCACAGCTGCAAATAATTTATGAGCCTAAATATATATTTTTTTAAGAACACCATGCCACACTGTATATTTTGTGGCATCTATTTTGTTTCAACAAACTGAAGCATAATAAAAAAACAAAATTTCTTTTGTGCAGTTTGATGGGCAAATTAATTTTTTGACCGAATCCCAGACCCCGAGAATATCAAATAGTCAGTCCTTATGGAACCTTTGCATTTCATATCAATCCTAACCAACATGAACAGAAGACATGCTGCAAATTGAAGCATGGAACAGTTGACATCCAGTAGTTGTGGTAAGGTATGTTCCTTCAGCTGACTTCATCTGTCCCAAGGTTAAGGTTTAGTTGTCAAGGTAGTCAAAAACTTGAACATTTCCGCGACAGACTACCCATAGTTTGTCTCCAGGTCCTGTGGAAACTAGGCGCGGCCACTTGATGCTGTCAGACTCCCCCACCAGGAAGCGGAGGAAGTCCCCTTGAGCTGACAGAAGATGTAGTTTGTTGTTACAGCCATCGGCAACGATGATGCGGCCAAACTTGTCACAGCAGACACCTCGAGGGCAGAAGGAGCTACGAAGCTTGAGACTTTCTGGTGGAATGTAGCGCGCCTTGACCTGGAAGTTCTTATTCAGGATGACCACACAGCTCGCTCCTTTGTCAGACACACAGATATCACCATTGATGTTGACGGCAATGTACCTTGGGGCCATAAAGATCTTCTTGCCATCCTCCTCTACAACCCTCTGCAGCAGGTCGCCCCGCTCAGAGAACACCAGAAGGGCGTTGTCGGAGTCTCCATTTGATTCTGATGTACAGAGGACAATCTGGTTCTCCTGTGTGAGAACCATACCCCTGGGCGGCAGACCAACATCTGCAAACTCCTGCAGTGGTTCCGCTTTACCTTTGTAGATGTACAGTTTTTTCTCCTGTTTAGATGTCATGAGAAACTCGCGGCCCAGCTTCACAACTCGAGCGTTTCCATCCGGCTGGAGAGCGATATCTTCCTTTTTCTCCCCAGAGAAGTCATACTTTACGAGTGCACTTCCTTCAGAGGTGTAATAGGAGACCCATGCTTGTGTTGCAGACACAGGAATAAGGCTGAACTCCACGAAGTGGTCTGTTTCAAAATGGAAGGCTGGTCTAAGCTTCAGCGGTTCAAAGCCAAACATTCCACAAAAGTTGCTAAGAATCTGAGTCCCATATATTCCTGTAGCAAAAATGGACTGCTTCTCATCCAACTCTTGAGCCTGAAGTGTCGCGTATCTCTCAAGTACATCGCTGATATCTTTAGCAACACGGACAATTTGTAAAGCAGCACTGAGTCGCAGAACCTCTTCAGACTCCTGAATGGATCTCAGAAGGAGGTCATAGTCTTCTCTGATGTTTTCATACTCTGCCTGAATGGTCTTCTTCTCTGCATCCATCTTCTCCTTGACAAACTTGATCCCATCCTCGCACATCTGCTCCACTATCTTCTTTACCTCATCCTTCCGCGTCTCCACCGCTGCAACCACAACCTCCCCATTCACCTTCATCCTGTCTCTTGCCTCGTCTGCCTTCTCTTTGGCAGCCTTGAACTTGATCCCCAGCAACTTCAGATCCTCCACCATTTCAGTGAGCTTCTCCCGGTCTATCTCTGCAGCTTCAGCTATGTCAATAGCTGTATGACCATAGTGCAGAGTCTGGCGGCAATCCAGACAGACAGGCACTCTGCACTCAGTGCAGTAGAACTTGAGTTCCTGACTTGGATGTTTGTCACACATCTCTATGGTTTCAACAGTTTTCCTTCCGTCTCCCATGACCAGGATGTGGTGGTTCTGAGTCTTCTCGTCACTCTTGTGCAGCTCCTTGCACTCCATACACAGGTTCTTGCGACACTCAATACAGAACCCAACAGCAGAGTCCTCGGTCCCGCACACCCCGCAGGTCATATCGCCTGACTCGATCTCTGACATGTCACAGTTCGCCATCACAAAGTAGCTGCTGGGGAAACCATCAACGCCTTTGGCAGGAACAGCAACAGAGCGTCGGCACTGGGGGCAGTGGATGACCTCTTTCCCCTGGTCTGTGACAGTGTTGTTGGAGTGCTTGATGTGCTTCTCCAGACAGTCCCGACAGAAGGTGTGGAAGCAGGGCAGCTGCTTCGAGTGCTTCACCTTGTCAAGACAGATCCCGCAGGTGAGGCCCTGGATGGCGGCCTGAGGTTGCTCCGCCATGTTGTAGCACTGTAGAAGAAAAACAACATAGCTTAGAATGTGTGCAAAGATTTGTACAAAAATAAAACTCTGTTGGTGAACAACCCTTACAACATGTCAAAAAATAAATTTATTCTGGTGAACAACCCTAAGAACATGTCAAAAAATAAATTTGTACCTGTGAACAACCCTATGAACATGTCAAAAAATAAATTTTTACCTGTGAACAACCCTGATAATCTTAACTTCAGGGGCCCTTTGTTATTCCTTGATCTAAAAATATATTTTAAAAAACATTGTCATGTTAGTTGGCATGCAATTATCTTGTAAAGTTCATTATTGAAATTTGGCGTCTGACTTGACGGGAAGAACACTGGACTGTTCCAGTAACATAATATCACTTTTAATGTAATTCAGAAATTATTCCCCTTCATGTGAGGTTTTGGGTGATAACATTTGTAAACTAAGGCCATGCTTTGTTTAATTCATATTTTACAGCTTTCTTTTCGGAAAAAAACAGGTAAGCAGGTGAAAACACATTTAAAAAAAATATATTCCACTTTTCAAAAGGACTTTCTTATTAGAGCGGGGCGTTTATTACGTTGAATACGGTAGTGGTTATTATAGTAGCGATGGTGTTGGTGCAAAACTTCCTACCGAGAACTGTACACTGATGCAAATATTCAGTAGATATGTCACACGTGTCTGCAATACATGCGCACCAATGCAGTGTTAAATGTATTGCTGACAATATCAAAGACAATCTCACTGTTGCTGTTCAAACCAAAGGGAAGTAACTCTTATCTGAGGTCGTAATCTTTGATAATCAACACATAGGTAGGTTTCAAATTTGCATAATATATGTATTATTTATAACTAATTGAAACTATTGATTGTTATACATACTATCGACTATTGCCATTTTAAAATTCCTATAGATACAGTACTGTCGTAAGGCAAAGAATTGCAACAGTTCGATATATTGAGACACTTCTAACATAGGAACTGAGCATGCGACAAGGGAGGCAATCAGTTGGGATCCTTCACGCAGGGATCAATACTTGTACTTTATATCTGTACTGAAGCCATTTATTATTCACATGGAGCGAGCACACCATGGCTCACTAGTGAATACCGTATTCGACGTATTAAGCGCCCGGGGCGCTCTCAAAATTGGAAATAGTGGGCTCTTATTAGAATATAATTTTGGTGAGAACAAAAACAGAGTTGAAAAATTCGTAAAGTAGATTATGCTGACAGCCTGAAATGATTCAAAAGAAAAGTATGTACGTATCATACACGAGAGATATATTTTCCAGATTTAATTTAATTGCCCACAATTAAGGGTGCATATAACACACGAGTGAGTATTATACACGAATCAATAAGTCTTGTGTACATTGATCAATCGGAAGGGGTGCTAATTAGCAAATATCGCAATGGGCGCTTATTAGAGCGGGGCACTTATTACGTCGAATACGGTAAGCTATTCTCTAGAACAAATACACATAATCAACACCCGTTGGGCAATACACTGTGAAGCCCAGACATCTGATGACTCCCATGGAACAAGCTCCATCAATGCTCCCACAGCAGAGTTTCCCATTCATGGGAATATTCCTCATGTTTATTGCTCCAGTGACGAAGGACCAGATAAAACGAAGGACCAGATAAAAGTAACATAGGACAATGTGGGCAAGCTGACCTGTATATTGCTGAGGAATGGAGGTTGATAGTCATACATTTAACATTTCTAATGAAATTTGGTTTTGATATTATGCAATTTGCTTTTCATGTGAGTGGTTGAGTGAGTGAGTGGTTGAGTGAGTGAGTGGTTGAGTGAGTGAGTGAGTGAGTCAGTGTGTGAGTCAGTGAGTGAGTCAGTGAGTGAGTCAGTGTGTGAGTCAGTGAGTGAGTCAGTGAGTGAGTCAGTGAGTCAGTGAGTGAGTCAGTGTGTGAGTCAGTGAGTGAGTCAGTGAGTGAGTCAGTGAGTGAGTCAGTGTGTGAGTCAGTGAGTGAGTCAGTGAGTGAGTCAGTGAGTGAGTCAGTGAGTGAGTCAGTGTGTGAGTCAGTGAGTGAGTCAGTGAGTGAGTCAGTGAGTGAGTGAGTCAGTGAGTCAGTGAGTGAGTCAGTGAGTGAGTCAGTGTGTGAGTGAGTGAGTGAGTGAGTGAGTCAGTGTGTGAGTCAGTGAGTGAGTCAGTGAGTGATACGTAAAAATGAATTTATTTTTCTATTGTGATTGTAGAGTCTGGCTTCGAGTTGTTTGAACCAGTAAACTGAAAACAAAAATAGCAATGAAAGTGGGCATGTTGTGCTCCTAATCCATCTTCCTGAAGCAAGGGAGTTAACTGACTCTAAAAGTCCAGTTTCCACCCTTGCCGAACTAGGCAATCGTAGTGCCACCTGTGGCTATTACGAGTTATGTCACTTCTATGTCCCTCCTAATGACTAATCAGATTCCACCTCTCAATCACTTGCAGTTTCTTCAAACGTTTTTACAATCCATCAATAGCATAAACAATACCGCCATCAGGGATTTATCTAGGATTCTAAACTGGGGGCCCCTGGCAGGCAAACTGGTAAAACTCTCGTTATTTTGTAAATATCTTACAGTTCTTATTTTCCTAAATTCAGAGGTGTTTTTCACATTTGATTTGGAGTTTGCATAAAACAAAATATTAGAAAAATAAGCATTAAAACCTCTTTCTACTTTTTTGTTTTATTATCAGCAGATCAGTGGATCCGTGAAGATTTGTGGTAGAAAAGGTCGTCACCAACCCATGCTTGCCGTAACAGGCGGCTATGCTTGTCATTAGACAGTACTTCCTACCTTAAGTGGTCAGGCTAGCTGATTTGGTTGATGCAATTCATCGTATCTCTTATCCTGACTGATGTTATCTTGTATCAGTGTCTGTATTGTCATATCTAACTAACAATCAGTGCGACTTCCTGACCCCATGACATATCGTTAAAGGCAGGGGAGCATCCAGGATCCAGTAGCACTTGGGCCATTTGTAACCTAAGTGTGTGTGTGGCAGGGGGGGGGGGGGGAAGAGAAGGGATATCCCACCCCAAAATATGCATATCATTAATGATTATACTTTTACAACCAAATGAACACGTTATCATGATGGGAAATGCGCATACCAAAAGTTATCATATGTAAAAATGGGGGTGGCCACCCCCAGAGGCCCCCTTCTGGATCCGCCACTGAAAGAGGGTGGTGCCTATTTTCTGCCTAGGTCCAGACATTGTTATGAAATACGATGTCCATGTGTGAAACTTTGATAATGTGCATACAATAAATCTGGTAAGTTTTGCGCCATGAGTGTCTAACACTAACCTTGATGAGATGGTGAGGTGAAATGCCAGGGTTTAACATTGCGTACAAGATTATTGCACTTTGAGACGTGCGACGTGCATGCACGCACGTGCGTGCGTGCGTGCGTGCGTGCGTGTATGTGTGTGCGTGTGTCTGCTTGTACTAGTCCTGACTGATGCAGATTTGTAGTGCTAGCTCATTGAGATACCATGCCGCAGTTTAACATGAATACCCCACTCAGACACAGTATACTGCCTCCGAGCCAACCAGTCCTTGCTTTACCTACTTAATGCCAAGTACCAGACAGGGTAACAACAAGTACCATCGTTAAATGTCTTTTGGTATGACATGGCTGGGGTTCAACCCCGGACCTTTCGCTCTCCGGGAGGACGGAGGCGGTCTTGATGAAATGGTAACTCAAGAGTCAGTCTGTCTTTTTTAAACAGTAGATACGTGTGTTGTAGTTGACAAGGAAAGTTCAAGTGGCGTGTTTATCTAACAGTATAGACTGGCTGGCGCATATCTGGTCTACTTAGTGTTATGTAAACAACTTACAAGGTCTTACACGACACATAAATGTGCATCCAGTATTCACAAATGTCTAGAATGGACACAGAAAAAAAATAAAGTGCATCCCTCAGGATGCACAGTAATATTCATTGTACCAACTTCTTGACAAGAAATATAAAGTCCCTGTAATTAAGATAATTATCAAATCGTACAGTACCGCATACTTCACCATATCATTACTGTCCAGGGCCCTGTTCCACAAAGCGATCTTAGTGCTAAGTTGGTCGTAACTCCCATACTTAATCATAGGCTTACAATCAACGTAGCACTAAGATCGCTTTGTGGAACGGGGCCCTGGTACCTTGAAGTTAGTTAATGGGGTCCTGGGCCCTGTTCCACAAAGCGATCTTAGCACTAAGGCAATCGTAAGGCCCATACTGTAACATAGACTTACGGTTGTCGTAGTGCTAATATCGCTTTGAGGAACGGGGCTCTGGACCCCAGTTTTTGAAGTCAAAATGAAGCCCTGAACTTAACGAGATGTGGCAGGTTGGTGAACTTTCCTGATGAGGCTGTTGACACTGACTGACATTGTGTAACTAAGGAAACGGGATTATTGATTAAATTATGAAACTGGCTGGTTGAGAATATGAGGGAGTAAATAGACTTAAACCATGTCTCCTTATCATGCTAATGTTTTTTGTTTGTCGTTGATCTACAACTGCATCACAAACCTAATGCAAGTGTGTGTCACTCGCAGTTTTCGCAGTACTTTCCTACTCACAAAATATAAAACGATGTGGTCGTGCATACACTGAAGTTGACTGAAGTTTTAGCTTTGTTCAAACATATATAAGTCAGAAGGAACGTGTTCACAGTCATGAAGAAATGCGAACCTTAGAGGCTTAAAACTGTAGTGGAACAATGTAGTTATATAGTGAAATTTTGTCAATATATCATGTGACTAACCACAGGACCGGGTTGTCCTGTGGGTACCCGGGTCCTACTCAGTACCAACCAGACCCGAGTACCCGAGTTACCTGTCCCAGCCCTAATATGTGACACAGATTTTTTTCCGTATTGATACAAAACCATACACTTGCTAAAAATAAATTACTAACTACTCATTTGATGACCCCCAGTGTTTTTGTCAGTCAAATATCACAAAATATTTGTTATTAATGTTTCAAGTTCACAA